CCTCCAATGTTATGGATGGTAAGAAATTCCATTCTAAATCAACAATGAAAATATATCTTTGGGATAAGGTTTATTGCATTATTAATTTTTTTTACTTTTATTCATTTGAAGAAAATAACAAAGAAAAGCTCTATGAATTCTTATTTCATCTTTAGTAGAAAGTAAACAGGATTGCCAAGGAAAAGGGATGCATACACAAATTTAAGTGATCGAAATGTTTAGAGTATATTCATATATTTTTACTCTAAACAGTACAGAAGAAAGGTAGGTTTAATACAAATATATGAATAACTTAGAAAAAGATTATAAAAGAGGGATGCAGAATTTATAAATATAATTATGACCTTTCTCAATGTTGTTATACCAAGTTTTTAATAGGATTTGGAAACTCATTTCTTCCAGTTTTCAAATTAAGGAAGACCTTCTTTGAAGCTGAGATCTGATGTCAACTATTTCAGTTTCTCCTAAATCTCTTCTGAGCCTTTGAATTGCCAGTCATCCCTCTTATCCTTCATCCTTAAAATTCATTTAATGTGCAGATATATAATGCAAATCTTACCAATTTTAGAAAAACGTTCAATATAAAAATAGTAGTGAAATGTAAAAATATAATTCAATGAACCTTTCTCTAAACATGAACATGGCATATGAAATCCATATCTGAATTATAAAGAATGTGTTGAAGATCTTGTATTATAATCTTGTAAATAATGAAATGAAAGAGTATTTTTTTTTAATTGCAAGCTCTATGACCAAAAGAAAATGTATAAACTTGTTAAACAGCTGAACTCTCCACAGCAGTGTTAATTCTTGGCTATATTAAATTTTTATTTTTTATTTTTTTGGAGAGGTTTTTGCTATAGGGCACGAGTGCTCGTCAGAAAGATAGAGAGAGACAGAGACTGAAAGCGAGAAATCATCCACCAGGTAGGATGGCCATGCTGCAATCCCTTCTCCTCTGTTCTCCTCTCAGGATCTTAGGCACTCATGCAGATGCGCCTGGAGTGAGTTCAAGTCACCAATCCGGGATTCAAACTGCGGTCGACTACATGGGAGTCCAGCAGCATAGCCATTACGCTAACTGCTGGTCCCAAGGCTATATTATATTTTAACAATGTTATCTAATCTTTAAGGTAAACAGTCCCCACATCTAACTTCATGATTTCTTTGTTACCTGTTTCCCTAGCATAATGTATGCAGAGAAGCAGAAGCAGAGATTGTGTCTGTGTTAATGTCTGGCTACTTCTGTGACCTAAATCCAGACCATACACTAGTTGGCTGCTAATGATATTTTAATGAATAATAGATCATTAATTAGGTGTGTATTAGAGCTGGTTATCCAGTGAAAATGACACCCATCACAAAATCTTCATGTCCTAGGAATTCCTCACTTCTGGTTTCATATTGAGGTTATAGGCTTATCCAAATAAAAGCATTTCCCACAGCTCGGGCTGCTCCATAGTTCAGAGAAAATGTCACTAAAATGTAGCTATACAAGGTGTGTGAAATAGAGACAATGTAGAGCCCTGAAGTTAAATGATACCTGTCACAAAGGCTTTTGAAAAGCATGAAAAAGATTCTGGAATAGGACCATCCTGCTGCCTAGTGGTTAAGAGAACCAGATCTAGGATGGCTCACCTCAGGTCTCTTGGCCTCAGTGACTCTTCTCCATTTCTCTATTCCATCAGAACCCTGGGCAACCATGATCATAGCATGACCATACTCCATTCCTGGGTGTTTTCTACCTTTCCCTGTATCTCTCTGTCACTTTCTGCCAGCACACAACAACAATGAAATATTTTATTCTCCAACAACAATGAAATATTTTAAAAATATTTTGGTAGATTTGCATATGCATTTTCTATTGTTAATGACATGTTTTATTAAGCTATTTCCAGCCAGCTATTTTATACAAAGAATAGCATTTGACTTTTTAAAATAAAGTTTGTATTTATCTGACTTACAAAGATGTTATTTTTATATGATTTTTTTTCTAGTGTCTTTCTTTCTTTCTCTATTTCTTTTTTTTTTTTAAGAGTTTTGTTTTTGCCTCAGGGCACATGTGTTCGCCTGTGGGAGTGAGAGAGAGACACACAAATTGAGAGGGACAGTGAGAAATCATCCCTCAGGGGGATGACCATGCCGCAATCCTTTCTCTTTTTCTCCTGTACGGATCTTGGGCACTCATACACACATGCTTGGCATAATTGTCAAGCCACTGGTACCAGAACTCAAATCATAGTTGGCCATTTGGGAGTCCAGAGATGTAATTGATACACCAGCTGCTGGTCTCTCTAGTATCTTTTCTAAAGAATTTTTTATACCACATTATAAACTAACAAATGAATGATAATACAAAAAAAATGTGAAATCCTAGTTGGGAGTTTCTAGACCAGAGCCAAAGTTAGGAATTTAAACCAATGTCAGGATGAAAATTAAATAAATTTATTTAGGAAGACAAGTCTAATGTGGCAGAAGGGATAATACAGGAAACTAAGGTAGGAGAACATGTCATCCTTACTGCTAATGTAACAAGCAGTTCAAAAGAAATGAAGGCTGATTATTTTATACATGAATTAAAATCTACATATACATATTATATATTTATGCAGCTACTTATATATCTCACATTATATATACTTTCCTCCTCAAATGTCAAAGATATAACTGAGAGTGAAACTTCCAAAATTTTAGGAATAAAAATAATATTTTTGCTTGATTTCCTGCTAATTCAGAATTATGGTGACCCAGCATCTAATTTGCTGTAAATATTTAAAATAGCAAGATAGGTATTGATAGGCAGTTGGATTACCATTGTAGTATAATAATTTGATCACTTGCATTTGATTAACTCAGTTTGTAAAACTGTGAATAAAACAAAATAAAATGGTCTAACTACTTCTATAAACAACTAGAGATATTTAAAGGCTGAATGGAATTGATTTTTTATTCTGATGCTCTCAGGAAATGGTTTCTTATTCTGTTTTCTGCATAGAATGTGTGGGAATTCTTCTTGTTGACCATATATGGTTCTCATCATGTAGAGAGGATTATCTTTCTTTAGAGCTGTTGTTCTGATGAAAACCTGAAGTGTTCCCATGCAGACTGCATAAGTGCAGCAGCAGTGGAACCTTTGGAAAGTTCTCTGGAGTGCGTATCCCCTCCTAGCAATCTGAGCTGTCTCCTTTCTAAGAATCCATGTGGTTTCAGGACCAGCACTCATCACCCCACCCTACCCCATGGGGTTTTCATTTCTCTTCATCTTTTTTTCCCAAGTTGGTCTTTGTTGCCTGGACATGGCCTGCCAAGGCCCTTTCTGCCTCTGCCTGATGCTGTTTGCACACATAGCGTTAGGAATTTTCCTTACATTTTTACCAAGTAATCCAATTTTGTATTCTCAATATGCTTCCCCCAAATGTAGGTAATTTTTTAGAATGTTCATGACATCTTGATTTCAGTTCTTTGCTTAGTATTTCTTCAGAACTGAGATGGACCAGCATCTACACTTGGTTATCCCACCTTTCTTTTTTTAAGTGATTTTTGCTATAGGGTACATGAGCTTGCCAGAGAGACAGAGAGACAGAAAGTGAGAAATCACCCCCATCCCCAGGGGGGATAGAAACACCACAATCCCTTTTCTTCTATTCTCCTCTCAGGATCTTGGGCATGGGGCACCTTAAGGCACTGGGTCTGGGCAGAACCACTTTCAACCATGTGATAGTCCAGCAATGTAAACATCACGCCATCTGCTGGTCCCACCCAATTTTGTTTTTCTTTAAAGTTTCTGATAAATGTTTTTGTACTTTCTTTGGTAGCTGTTACTGAGTGTATTTCTTTGGTTCATTTCTTACTCTTTAACTCTTGAGAACTGTTGTGTCAGGTTACTCATTCCCCAATCCTGAGCAGGTGATGTTATCATCCTGTGTCCTAGGAGAAGAAGTAATGAGAGTTGAAGGAATGTGGACACCATTAGAAGGTATTCAGTGCTTATGGAGGAATGTACCCTACTGGGAAGGGGAGAAACACAGCATGAGGAGGGCTCTTGCTCTGTGTATAAACTCATCCAAACTCAGAGATTGATTTGTTGGACAATAGATAGAGTTCCACCTCTTTTCACCATCACAGCGAAAATACTCCTGAAGTTTAATAAAATAGCCATCTTTAATACAGTGTAATACAAATGTGAATGCATTTTTAAAACAGAGTCTATATAACTTTCACATTACTAAGCTTCTGTTGAAGAAATGAAGTAACTAACTGACTTATTAGGAAAATGATGGAAAATCCAAATAAATATATCTGTGTCTATGATGTGTGAAAGTGTGTGTGTGTGTATGTGTGTGTGTGTGAATGTATTTGTAAGAGGTAAAGTGAGAAATAAGTATTATCCCTAGTACTCACTATTCCAGGAATAATAGCTTTCATAACAGTGCTAGAAAACTCTGATACTTTGTAAGAATACATTTGTCTATGTATAGGTGAGTCTATATAAAGCCAATGTTGAAGTGTTTAAAAAGCTTGCATGCTTAGGAACGTTCCCATTCCAATTTAGTTTCTTGTTGCCTGGAATATGTGTCAGAATTGTGTAATGACACTTGCAAAGAATTCAAGTTGCAAGATTGAAATCATAGACAGGGTAAAAAGAACAAAATGATTTCATATATGTATATATATATTTTTTTTTGCATGTTAGCAAAAGAGAGATTAGCATTTCCTTCATCACCAACTACAGAGGAGTCTGTCTACAGTGTTGAAATCATGTACTATCTGAAAGAAGCTCAGCTGGGTCATCTGGAGAAATATGAGGATATTCATGAGGAAACCTTGAACATAGTCATTAAGAAATTTTGATGTCTGCTGGTTTGACGTTGTATGCATAAATCTTTAAAAGGAAAATGATTACTGCATTTTCAAGATTCAGATACACATAGCATTTTTGATGAATGACTCAAGTGAGCACCAGCAGTGATATTAGACATCAGGACATTCTCTTACGGACAATGGGAAATGTCATTCAAACTACAGGTACAATCATCATATGTGTGGAATTCATGATTGGAAAAGTTGGGAATGGATTCATCGTACTGGTGAACTTCATTGACTGGGTAAAGAGAAGAAAGATATCCTTAGCTGATCAAATCCTCACTGCTTTGGCGATCTCTAGAATTGCAGTGCTCTGGTTAGTGTTCACAAATTGGTGGATTTCTACATTTTATCCAACTTTATATATGGTTGAAAAAACATTAAGAATATTTAATGTTGTCTGGGTAGTGACCAATCACTTTAGCATCTGGCTTGCCACCTGTCTCAGCATCTTCTACTTTCTCAAGATTGCCAACTTTTCAAACTCTGTTTTTCTTTACCTGAAGTGGAGAGTGAAAAAAGTGGTCTCAGTGATACTACTGGTGAGCTTGGTCTTCTTCTTTTTTAATATTATACTGATAAACATACATATTAATGCCTGGTTTGATGTATACAAAGGAAACATGACTTGTACTGCTAGCTTGATCAACTATGTACAGTTTTCTCATTTTCTTTTACTCACCAATGCTTCGTTCACTTTCATACCCTTTGTTGTAACACTGATAACCTTTCTCCTGCTGATGTCCTCACTGTGGAAACATCTTAGGACGATGCAGCGTGATGCCCAAGGACCCAGAGATGCCAGCACCAAGGCCCACATCACAACCATGAAGTCCATTATTGCCTTCCTCCTGCTCTATGCCATTTTCTTTCTGTCTTATATTATACCAGCTTGGAACTTTGACTTCTGGGAAAAACGGTTGACTATTATGTTTTGCCAGCTTGCTGCACTTGCTTTCCCTTCAGGCCACTCATGTGTCCTGATTCTGGTAAACCATAAGCTGAGACAGACCTCTCTCTTGGTGTTGTGGTGGCTGAGGTGCAGGCTCAAAGGTGGAGACTCCTCAGGTCCATAGACCACATTGAGGTGTGTGGGGGGCTCATCTTGCATATTAAAGGGCAAAATCAATCCGTTAGAAGAAAGCCAGACTATGAAAGACAGGCATTGAATGTCCCTGCTTAATATTTACCGAATGTCTGTGCTCGATAAGAGAAACTGAAAAATTGGAAGGTATAATACAATAGCAGGGAAGTCAACAGTAGATACTAGAGACAGTACAGAAGAGGGGACATGGCTAATAGAGCATGGGAAGGAGGGGATCAGGGGAAAAAAAGCAAAATATTTAATAGACACAAAAATGAAAAGTTATCTGTTGATTATAATGTACATGGAAATGTCTTGGAGTTGACTAAAATGTACTGTGTTTGTGCTAAGAAAAGCCATGTTGTATGCAAAGATGTACAGTGATTAAGTGTATGTAAAAATTATAATAATAAAAAGAATTTTCTCATAAAACTATTTTTCCTCAATGTTCTATTATGTGTTAACTTTGTTTTTATTTATTTATTTATCTTTTAGAGAATTTTGCTGCAGGGAACATATGTTTGCTGGAGAGACAGAGAGAGACAAAGAGAGAGAAAGTGAGAAATCACCCTCAAGGAGGGATGACCACACCACAGCCCCTGCTCTTCCATTCTCCTCTTGGGATTTTGGACATTTACCCGCACGCACTGGCATGCATTTCAAGTCACCAAGTCCAGGATTTTAACCACTGTTGATTACGCGACAGTCCAGCAACGGAACCATTACACCATCTGCTCACACTATATGTATATATGTAATATTTATAAAAGGAAAGATAGGAATTCACATCACTAACATCTTAGAACTCTTTAAAGTAACAAATATAATTTTGTGTAAGTCATTAACTTTGAAATTTTAAAATGAGAAGCCTATAATAAGGAAGATAGATTTTGTATATGTACAAATGGGATGCATAGTTGTTAAAAATATTACTGTACATCAAAAGTTAATAGAAAATGGAATTACAAAGGAAAGATAGGAATTCACATCACTAACATCTTAGAACTCTTTAAAGTAACAAATATAATTTTGTGTAAGTCATTAACTTTGAAATTTTAAAATGAGAAGCCTATAATAAGGAAGATAGATTTTGTATATGTACAAATGGGATGCATAGTTGTTAAAAATATTACTGTACATCAAAAGTTAATAGAAAATGGAATTACAGAATGAGATTATTTCAGAGCAAAAATTCTTGAAATTCAGGTTCAGCTTTTTCATATTATGTATTTTCCATGAGCTTTCTGAAGATGCTTCATAGAACTTCATGATTTCAAATACATACAAGTAAGTTCTATAACTAGAATATGCACCTAAAATTTCAGATGAAATATGAAGAATAAAATGTGGAATATTTTTGGCCGGCAGATTACATGGAGTGGCTGATTATGCCATTGAGTCCAGGACCCAGGGCTTGAAGAACATGTCAGGTGCATGCATGCCAAAAAAAAAAAAAAAAAATCCCAAGAGGAGAATTGAGGAAAGGGGATTGTGATGTGGCCAGCACTCCTAAGGGGTGATTTCTCACTCTCACTCTCTCTCTTTCAGAAAAGCACATGCGGGAACCAGCAGTTAGCATAATGGCTATGTCACTGGGCTCCCACGTAGTCGACTGTGGTTCACGTCCCGGACCCGGTGGCTTAAAACTCACGCCGGGCGCGTGTGCGTGCGTGCCCAAGATCCTGAGAGGAGAATGGAGGAGAAGGGATTGCGGCGTGACCATCCCCCCTGGGGGGTGATTTCTCGCTTTCTGTCTCTGTCTCTCTCTGTCTATCTGGCGAGCACACGCACCCTATAGCGAAAACCAAAAAAAAAAAAAAAAATGGTATGCTTGTGAACAGCAGATGGCATAATGGTTATGTCACTGGACTCCCACATAGTAGACTACAGTATTAGTCCCTGACCTGGTGACTTCAAATTCATGCCAGGCATGTGTGCATGCATGCCCAACTCTCAGGAGGAGAATGGCGGAGTAGGGATTGTAGCATAGCCATTCCTCCTGAGGGGTGATTTTTCACTTTCTGTCTCTCTCTGTCTATCCAACAAGTACAGGCACCATATAGCAGAAATCCTTCTAATTTAAAAAAATGGTACTCCATGCACTCCAGAGTTAATAAAATATAATGTACACACCACATTTATATGTGTTATAACAAAATTGCAGTCATTAGAGGCAAATTGAAACTCAGTGAGCAAGTACAAAGTAATGAGTGGTAATCATTAAGGGAGAAAAATTATTGAAAAGTATGAATAACCTTATCAGAAAATTACATGCCAGAAGACAACTGATTTGTATTTTTGAAGTGCTGAGGAATATTTTATCTATGCTCCTAAATTGGTTAAACATTTATTCTATGGATTAACCTAATTAACATAATTTTCAAATAAATAATACTGGTGCTATTAACTACACACATTACACACTGAAGATGCTTATTAATAAATTTGCTAGATGGTTATACACTGAACAGTGTGCCTCCTAACCCCCAATGAGACTTTTAGGAGAATGAGCCTTCAAGGATGTAAATAAGGTTAAAATATATCATAAAGGCAGAGCCTTCATTCAATGGAACCAATCCAAGTCCTTGATCTTGGGCTTATGCCTAAGAGAGCTGTAAGAAATAAATTACCGTTGTTCAAAGCCCTCAGTCTGTGCTATTTTGTTATGGCAGCTCAAACAAACAATTCAGAGACAAAAATTAGACCAAGAGAGAGGAAATGGAGTGGAAGGAATTATGTACAACAAATTAAACATTAAGTAAGCCAAGAAGGACCGGCCCTGTAGCCTAATGGTTAAAGGAGTCAGATCCCATATGGACGACTGTGGTTCGAATCCTGACCTCAGTGGTTTAAAAAATATACTAGGCATATGTACATGCATACCCAAAATCATGACAGGATGCAGAAATGGAAAATTGCTATGTGACCACATCCCTTTGAGAGATACTTTCTTCTATGTCTGTGTCTCTTGTTGGTGAGCACATGTGCCCTCTGGTAATTAGAAAATAAATAAAGTAAATCAATAAGTAAACGTGAGCTGCTTATAAGCTGTAATAAAGTCGATGCTTTGCAATTTAAAGCAGTTAGTGTTAAAATCATATGTAACATGAACTTTGTACTCAAAATAGCTAAATTTTGTTCTACATAGATTATACCCCAATAAAGCTGGTTAATAAAACAAAAAGAAGTATGTATAACACAATCAGGTAAAATATTTTTAAGAAATCAATTTGAGTTAATATCAAATTTAGAATTGAATAATAAGAGCACTATATAATTTGGAAAATTCTATCCAGAAGTGCCGTGGCTTGCCTGAGAGGAAGTGTCTATGAGAAAGAGGACACACACAGAACAGTTCTTCTTCAAGAGACAGACAGCTCCATGGCTCCTGCGATCTAGCCATTTTGGGAGAAAGGAAGATGTCCCACTGATAACTGGGCCTCAAGCATACAAAACTCTCGTGAACAGCCCTTCTTCAAAAGACAGACAGCTCCATGGCTCCTGCGATCTAGCCATTTTGGGAGAAAGGAAGATGTCCCACTGATAACTGGGCCTCCAGCATACAAAACTCACATGAATAGCCCTTCTTCAAGAGACAGACAGCTCCATGGCTCCTGCGATCTAGCCACTTTGGGAGAAAGGAAGATGTCCCACTGATAACTGGGCCTCCAGCATACAAAACTCGCGTGGTAGGAAGACCCCTTTCAAGTCTCCTTTCTCTGTATCAGTCTTTGTCTCTCTCTACCTCTCTCTCTCGCTCTCTCTTTCTCTGTCTGTCTTTTTTTTAATTTTTTGCTTTTTAGAATATTTTAAGGTGAGGCATTTTACAGGGCCCTTTGGCCCCTACTAGGCCCTTATCTTGTTAATAATCCCCTCTCCTCCTCCCAGAACAGCCCTCCTTCAAGAGACAGACAGCTCCATGGCTGCTATGATCTAGCCATTTCACACGGCACGCAAGCAAGGTTTTTTAATTTTTGAGTTTTATTGAAATTTTTTGAATATTAATTTTTTTTAGATTTACTTAAAAGTTTTTCTCTTCTTTTTTCTCTGTTTCTTGTCTGTTTTTTTGCTGTTGTTGGTATTGTTTCCCTCTCTCTGCTTCCTTTTCTGCACATTCCTCGACCCTCAGATTGAACTTCCAAGTTTGGGAAGAAACCAACCATCCACCAGATGACTAGAAATCGCTGCAGTACCACAAGAAATATGAGGAAGCAGGAAAATACCTATCCCACAAGGGAAACGGATAGCTCCTCCTCATCCATTCACAGTTCAATGGAAATCATGGAAATGTCTGATAAAGAATTCAGAACATTCATAATGGCAAAGCTAACAGAGATGGAAGAGAAGAGAGACAAGGAACTGCTGAAGAGGAAGGAGAAAGGAATTGATGAGTTCCAGGAGGTGAGGAAATTCATGCAAGATCTAAAAGAGAAATTTCACACTTTACAAAATAATCAGATAGAACTGTTAGAGATAAAGACTATAATACAGGAAGTCAAAATCTCCCTTGAAAGTATTAAAAGC